AAGAGGAAGCACATGAGAAGAGCCGTTAGATTGGCTTTCCCTCGTACAATCCTTTTCATCGGTTTCCTCACTTAGGCTTTCTTTGGGGGTACGTATAGATTTTACTTGTTCATGCAGCTCTCCCCTTTTACTTCCCACGTTGAGCGCAACCTGCGCTGAGTCATCCCCCTGCAGCGTGTGCCATAACGGCCCCCTTCCGTTTGTTCTTGCAGCTCCCCCCTTTACTTCCCACGCTAGGCTACCAGAGTGGACCGGGACCACAAAAAAAACAAATAAAAAAAAAAAACTTTTATTTTGACTTTTAAGTTTGGTAAAGAATTTTGACGGGACCTTCCCTTCAAGGCAAAAGTTGTTCAGTTTATTTTTCTGCATAACAGTCTTATTTTTGGATTTTTTGTTTTTTTTGCTGAGACCTTCCCTGGTCCTTGCACGGCCGGGCCGCCCGGGAAAAGAGGGTGACCTGGGCGGCCCGGCTGGTAGCCAAGTTCCACGTCGACTGCGGTTGAATGCAAGCTGGCTGCCCACGTCCCCGTGCGCCATAACGGCCCACTTCCATGCTATGACAGGAGCCCGAGAAAAGAGGACACCATACCCCTGTTCATTTCTCCCTCAGATCCTCCGCTTATGCTTCGCCTCTTCTAGTAATGATGCTCACTCGTATGCATTTAGCAGCAGCACACAAGAGGGAGGGAGGAACGAGACGGGCAGGGGGAAGAGTTCTACAGGAAGCGAGCGACGGGGGAGGAAGAAGGGGAGACGGAGGGAAGTGAAAGAACAAAAGGAATAGCACAGAGGAAAGACAACCTTCATGGTTTAGTTCTCGATACTCGCCACGGGAGCAGACTACTACAGAAACTTCACGGTTTTGTTCTCAATACTCGCCACGGGAGCAGACTACTACAGAATGGCAAAAGAGGCCAGTCGGCGATTGCATTGACGGGCACGCATTGCTCTCATTGGTAAGCGCCCGACCCTGAAAAATTAAAATAAATAAATTTAAAAAAAAAAATAAAAAAAAAATAAATAAATAAAAAAAAACCGGACAGGACCGGTTCCAGTGTGGACTGTGCAAATGCCACCCACATCCAGTTCTCCCAGTTGCAGTCGCGGCATCCCAATGGCACGGCGGCGGCGTAGACCGATGTCATAGTAGGCTGCGTGGGTCCTGGATGCTGGTTAAACAGAGGCACGCCGACACCACAATTTTCTGCGTGTGTCTGCGTGTTGACATATTCGCTATGAAGTTCTAAATCGAAAAAAGCACGACTGTCTCGGGCCGTTTCGTCCCGACTTCCACCGACTCAATCTTTTACATGTGTACCTATATGTTATGATGATTGCAGAGATTAATTTTCAACATACATGCAACCTCGACTGTTTCTTTAGCTGCTCTTGGTCTTGGCGTGTTGCTAATGAAAAAAGGCAAGGCCCCTCTATATTCTTCATCACCGCGGTTTTTAAGGTTTCACCACCTGTTTTGGGTGTGTGATTGGTTAATTACTCCCATTCTTTTTTTTTTTTTTTTTTTTTTTTTTTTCTGCGCCTCGAGCACTGGATTCCCGTGCAACCTCTCATCAAAAGCTACAGAACACAGACTTCAAAAGAATCAAAACTTCGAAAGCAACACGTGGGTACCAAGGAGTGTAAGTTGGACGTAGGACGAAGGAAAAAACTTCATGAAAAGTACTCAACTCGAGATTCCGGAAATTCGTAACAACGTATGTAGTCATGTGGGCTCAACTGTGTTGTCATGCCAGACACATTCATTTCGAGTGGGCTGCAGCCGCTGCAGTGACGTTCCAGGTTGAGCAGGCCGGGGGAAGATTGGTTCGTGAACATAGGATAGTGTGAACTGGTGCTTTAAACCACGGAGGTACCTCCGCCAGTGTTGGGAAAATAGGGAAAAGTGGCAGTTTTCCCAAACTCCTAAAGATTCGGAGGTCGGGCCCGACGACGACTGCCATTGATAAATCTGATCAGCAGTCGTCACTTCGTTTCAGCCTCCCAAAAAGTCAAGAGGACCAACCGAGGCCCGCTATTTTCCCACGCGGCAAAGGTACTAGTGCTTTACGAGAGAGAAAAAAAAAAAAACAGGGGAGACATTTTCATCACACTTGCAAGTCCATTGAAAACACCTTGAAGCCTTGCACAGAGAGAGAGAGAGAGAGAGAGAGAGAGAGAGAGAGAGAGAGAGAGAGAGAGAGAGAGAGAGAGAGAGAGAGAGAGAGAGAGAGAGAGAGAGAGAGTCCTTCCAAAGCAAACTGTTTAAAAATTTGAAGCAAAAGATGTGCTTGATGCCAAGCAACACTGTCAAATGAATGCCAACTCTCCAGTGCTCATTACAGCCAAAATATGATGACATCTTGGAGTCGCTTAAATTAGTACTCGACATTGCCTAAGACACTATTTTCAATTATAATATTTATCATATTATTAAATTATTTACAATTTTACTAGGCTACCAGAGTCGTCGAGGACCACTTGCCCGCCCGCGTCAAAAAGAGGTAAAACAAACATATATATATATATTCTATTTGACGATATATATCATCACAAACAGAACTGCCCGGTAAACCGTAGGCAGAGAGAGAGAAGAGGACAACAAACGAGGGGCTGTGACAAACTGTTTCGTCGGAGTTTCATATAATATTTTATAATATTTTTCATTTTAAATTCGGTAAGGAATTTCGATGTCACCCTGAGACAAAAGTTGTTCAGCTTATTTCTCTGCATGACATAGTTTTTTTTTTCGTTTTTTTTTTCTTTGGCTGGTTTTTTTTTTCGTTTTTTTTTCCTTTGGCTGGGACCTTCCCTGGTCCTTGCACTGCCGGGGCGCCCGGGAAAACAGGGTGATCCGGGCAGCCCGGCTGGTAGCCTAGCAATTTTACATTTGCATAAATGTGATTTAGATTCATTAGTGATTAATAATTATTATTTATTACTTTTAGTTTTGTACTCGTATTATTATTATATATTACTGTTCCTTTTCTAAAATATTCTTAGAATGTTTAGTGTATCATTTTATATTTATTATCATTATTATTAATAATATAATTTTATTACTATTCAAGTTCTATTCTCATTAATAATATTATTATTCATTTATTATCAATTGCCCACCCCCTTCTTAGGGGGGTGGGCAACTAAGCATTTACAATTGTATTATTTTACACCATTTATCGATTTATGCGCATCATCCTTGCCCAGGGGCCATGCAACTAAGAACAAGAAATTAAAAAACGAAATATATATACATTTAAATAATCATAAAATAAATCAAACGAGAATCATCAGGTCTCAACCTTCATGCTCAGGCTGAGCCAGGTTCCTCCAGATCTAAACCAGTATTATTATTAATTTCGTAAATTAGTAATTTATTATTCGTATTTTTAACAATTTGTTACTACTACAGTACTGCTATAATACTGTTGTTATTTTATTAGATATTATTATATTATTATATTATTATATTATTATATTATAAGAATAGAATCACCACACACTTGATCGAGCAGTTGCAAAGAAGACCAGATGCATGTAATATTACTAATATACAATGTGTTTTTGGAAGGGGGAAAAAAAAAAACGAATATTGGATGAGCAGAAGAATAAAACCCAGAAAACGAACAAAAAAAAAAAGAAAAAATGCATCACCACAAAAAGAAAATAGCATGAAACGTCGTAATAGGCACACACCACCCAAGGGGCGAAAAAAATGGGCAAAAAAAATGAAGGCACCGTGGTGAAAACAAGACACAGGGAAACAAACAGGGATGGGCAGATGGGAGCATTTACGACACTGGCACCCAAAACAGAACAGGAGACACTCTGGGCTGGACAAGAACTCGAGGAATCTAAAGGGAAATTCAAATTAGAAATTAAAAAGAGAGAGAGAGAGAGAGAGAGAGAGAGAGAGAGAGAACTCTAGTACAACAAATAACAGTAGATAGGGTAGGCGTGCGCGTGAAGGTTGGTTTTGGAGTGAGGGGGCAGCAAGAAGAAAAGGGAGGATGGGGAGAATAAAACCGCTCGAGAATTATTGATGATAATCCCTTTCACCAATCGGATACAGCTGCATGAAGCAAAAAAAAAATACAGATAGAAAGAGCAGGGAAAAAAAAATGCACCTATATTGCTTCCTTCACTGTTCATACAACGTCTTGGCCACACCTTTAAAGGAGCAAATGACCTGAATAGGTCTGTCTTGTTTTGCTAATTCTACGCACAGAGAGAGAGAGAGAGAGAGAGAGAGAGAGAGNAGAGAGAGAGAGAGAGAGAGAGAGAGAGAGAGAGAGAGAGAGAGCGAAGTGGGGGATAACCTGACAGACACTGCATCCTTCACCCTTCACTCACAAATTTTGCCCATGTATGCGAAGGAGCAGACGAACTTAAGCAGGTCTGTCTTGTCATGCACATACTCTACACAGAGAAAGAGGGAGAGAGAACGAGAGGGAGAGAGAGATGGACAACAAGGAGAGAGAGAGAGAGAGAGGGGGGGAGAGACTGCCTGCTCCTCACAAAGTAAAAGTCATCTCCTCTGCGTCTGAGGAGCACAGCCTTGATCTTGCACTCGAATTTTCTCCTCCAGCTCAGATCCCTGCGATGCAGAAACCTTGACGATGATTCGAAATTTCGACGGCACCCCCCCCCCAAAAAAAAAAAAAAAAAAAAAAAAAAAAAAAAAAAAAAAAAAACACTAGACCCAAAAAAATGAGTCGAAAAAGGGAACTAAGGCATCACCCTCATCATTGTCGAACAACAAGAGCCTCCATGCCCTGCTACCAGAGCTCAAAAGAAAAAAGTAAAAACCCTCTAGCGTACAAATGACCGCCTGGTGCACGGCATAGGAAAAAGGGGCAGACACTTTCTCACCGAACTACTGTCAAAACTGCTACAAGACGCAAGTCTCCCAAAGTACAGCCTGAAAAAGTATCAAGAACTCGTCTGACCTGTGACATCTGTGATATTTGCATCATGCCTTATCTACTGAAGGCATAAGAATAAATATAGACATGGCGTACGCATCGTAACGTACGAAAACTTTCACAAAACTCTGCAGCTCCGCTCCAAGAAGCCAGCGAGCAAGACGAAGGTACTGAAAGAGGAAGGAGCACTAGACAGACAAGCGGGAAAGTATGTGCACCGATGCCCTAGGCAGGCCTCTGGATTAAAATACTCAACAATAGGTACAGGCATATACCACCAAAACACACACACACACACACACACACACACACACACACACACACACACACACACACACACACACACACAAACACAAACACGAACACAAACACAAACACGAACACGAACACAAACACACACACACACACACAGAGGATGGGGAGAGAACGACAGAGAGAGAGGGAGAGGGAGACGGGGGAAGAGGGAGAGAGAGAGAGACGTTATAGAGTGACCTCCAGTTTGTCTCCATATAGTTGGGATGAACCTCCAATGGTGTTTGCAGACGCACGTCACAACCGGAGGTAAGTAGTCAGAGAGGAGTGGTTCAGGAAAACAGACAAACATACGCAAACACAACCAGACGGCCATGCGGTCGCTAACCCTGAGAAAGACGTGAAGTGTCCAAGATGGCTACAAGATCGCAACCAACCCAGATTTTTCAATTAGATTCCCCACACGTTTGCACTCGCACAAACGTTTGAGCACCACACACAAGGACAGTGTCTCAACACTTGCTTGCAAAGGCAGAAGCTTTTCGATGATTGTTGAGCGCAGGTTCTGTGGATTTACGAGCAGGACAACCTACACACGCTATAAAATGCTAGCCGTGTGTGCAAAAAGACGCGTACAAATTGCAGCGGACAGCTCCTCACACAGGCAGCTCCTTTGACTTAGGTGACCATTGACTCTGATGGTAATCTTGAGCAATCGCTGGAAGAACCGCATGCGCACATAAACCTTGCAGCAGCAGGTACAGGATTGAGTCAAAGCAAGATAGTACGGCAAGGACGGCAAGGACGGCAAGCAGGGCGCACGAGAAGTAACCTCTGCATGTTGTGTAGTGGTTTCTCTGCTTGGGGAAAAGTCTCGACGACATTGACTTGACACAAAAAAAATGGCACAATTATGACGATGCGAAGTGAGCGGCAATTATCCGACAGCGGGAGACGATCGTGGCGCAGCAGAAGGCAAGCGAACCTCGACAGGCAATTTTGAAGACGAGATGGTGTGCGGTGAAACGCTGCCCACAGGAAAAAGTCTCTAAGGGCGTACTCACGCTAGCACTATCTTCAACATATCTGACCGCAATTAAGGCCAGACCTGGATGTGTCTGACGGCAATCACGCCCAGAATCGAGTTAAAAAGTCCTAATGTGAGAATGCCCTAAGGGTATACTCAAAAGAACTAGCGCTTTCACGAATGTGACTGAGTGGAATCATGGCCAGATTCTGTCTCTCGAAACTCGTCTCTACGAGTACACCCTCCAAGGCCCTAACCAGGGCATCCTTTCCTTCCCTACCCTCAACAACGCATGCACACACATGCAGACACGTGCCTCTCCTCTCTCATTCAAGAGGACGGATAAGCAAAAGGGCATAGCACCAAAGGGAAAAAAATGGTTGGAGAGGAACGGAGACAAACTACACAGCGAAAGGGACATAGCAGATACAGTAATCCACCGAGACATAACCGGGAATAAAAGCACATGGTCCCCCAGGACCCCACAGGTCCCAGGAGGACCATTCTTTTTTTGCACCGAGGACGACGAGGACGACCCGCGATGTGGCGTGTTCCACAATGGATGGCAAGCGAAACGATACGGTGGACGAACGACAACTAAGAAGGGGACGGCGAACCATTTCAGCAAGCGCAATGCCGTAACGGTATTCAGTCGACGACTGATGTGGTGGTGACCGACATGCAATTTTGGTATCCATATATCATTTGCTTTGCTCACTGCTGCTGCTGCTGCCAGGATCCTGTGGCAGGGACAGAGATATCAGGTCAGATCTCTACGATAGCCGGAAGTGGTATCAGAGATTACCATTAACCACCAAGGACGACTCCTACGTGACCAACCTAGACAGTTTAGTGCGTAAGACACAAAGCAGGGGGGAAGGGGGGGGGAGGGAGACCCCCTTTTCGAAACGAGCAGGAATCGGGGACCTTTCCAGAGCTCAAAACTTCTACAACATTTCCACAGCATATCTGGAGTCAAAATCTCTAGAACATCTGACGCACCAGAGCTCAAAACTTCTACAACACACCGGTGCCATTTAAACCACCAGTACTTGGCCCAGCTATCGGCCGCGGAAAAAAATAAGAGTAGAAACGTTTCTAGTTGGATGAATTTGGGCGCTCCTGTAGTGGCCCGCACGTTTCCTAAAATCGCATAGCGTTAACGCTACGCGACTTTTGGAAGTACTGGTGGTTTAACACAGTCTTTTTAGATGGGCAATCCTGACTATCGAGAGACCCATAACCAATCCGACTGCACCTCTCATTCCTCCTCCTCTTCCCCTTTCTGCCCCAGCTTCAGATGCTCCTCCTGTCTCCGTGGAAAGGAACAACAGGCAGACAGAGGTCCAGGTTCAGATGTTCCTCCTGTCTCCAGGGACAGGAACAACATGCAGATACAGGTCCAGGTTCATCCTCCTAGTCCATGGACAGGAACAACATGCAGATAGACTAAGGTCAACAGACGTTGGCAAACTTCTGCACGCAAAGTCCTCGCTACTACTACCAGTCTCTAATCGAACGCCCGACTACCAAACCGTTCCCGGAGCGAAGAGACACTGAGATCAGCCCTTCCGGGGATGAAGCGAGTCCCTCCTTCGCAAGTCTATAGCTAGCTAGGGTCCCTCCCTGCGTCCGTTCCAGCTGTGAAACCTGGGAGGCAAGCGACAATGCCAGGCCAGGACAAAACATCTTTCATTGCAGGCAACAATGGCCACCAGGGAAAAGACATACTAAAGAGGGCTGACACACTAGATGATGCGACACTAAACATTGGAAAACACTAGAAGATGCTGACACACTAGGCACACACAGACACTAGAAGATGCCGCCTATCACTGGTCAGCAACACAGTCGAGGAATCGATAACATTGGTGAACGACAATTTGACACACTCTCGCCCTCGTGATCCCTGCTGCGGGTGCAACACAGAAAAAAACCGTAGCGTCAACTACGGAGGCAGCCGGGAAAGAGAAGAGAATGAGGGGGGGCTTTTTCGCAACTGTGCAAGCAACCCGGGCTGGACAAGAAGTGTGGGAGCGGCAGGAAAAAAAGTGAAGGGTGAAAGTTCTGCACTGACATGGGGGAGGAGGGTGGGGTATGGGGGAGGCGGGGGAAGAAAGAAGCCAAGAAAAGAAGTGCTGCTGGCCTGGTGTAATTGTCTATGCTACAGGTCTTTTGGAAGACCGCACACACTCTACGGGGTCAAATTAGCCTTCCTTCTGAACGATTACACGTCTTATAGAACAACAAGCTAGCTACAATTAAATACGCATTTACCTGCTGTGCGGACCTGTGTACAGTGTCTAGGTATCCAGATCAGCATACCCTGATCAGATACCAACGCTTCTGATTGGCATACCCTCACGAACCCCTCCGTAACCCTACTCGCGAAATAAATAATCTAAGTATCACACGCTAAGGACATATACTCACACTAGCACTTTCCAGAATGCATCGGACTGCAATCACGCCCTATCCTAGATGAATTTGACCTCGATCGCGTCCAAAGACTTGTGGAAAAAGTTCTAGTATGAGTATGCACTAGAATGTCGACCAAAAAAAAAATGAAACTTCAAACTTCAACATTACCGTCCTGTAGAATCAGCGGTTCGGATACGTGTAAAGCCGCTTCATCTTTCTGTCCCTCCCAACGCCATCCGGTTTCACTTTGCCCTTCACCGAAAACGCCCTCGCCAATCCAGATTGATCAGAAGTCTTGATTCCGCTCACCTCCGCATCCCGCTCCACTCTACTGTTATTGTATCTCCTCAGGCTCAGTAACGCGGGTTTGGGGAACGCGGGTGCTAATGCCGGTGCGCCGTACGGCCGCCGTCTCTCTGGCGCGGCGCATCGGAAAGTCGGCAAAGGATCGGCTTGGCAGTCGTCTCCATACTCCCGCACGCGCCCCGTCGAAGCAAACCCCTTCTCCATCCTGCTGCTCTCACAGGGGTGAATTCCAGATTGATCTCCCCTTATGGAGATAATAAACCTGTTAACCTGTTGGTCTGCAGTCTCTTCTTCCATTTCCTCCTTCCTCTTCAAGATTCCTCCGCATGGTAGGTTCCCCGCATGATGATCCCTGGCTGCACCCGAAAGAACCGGATCTTGGAAACTCAAGGATGACAGATCTGCAAAGCCCACTCTTCTGACATGTTTTTGACTCTTCAACGACGGCAGGTTCCCAGCAGCAGTGGACTCCTTCGAATCACTGGCAGAACAAGCACCAGAGCCCTCGAGTGGAATTTTCGTGACACCCACGTTCTCCATGACAGTGTTGGATCTTTGCAGCTCAGCGGGATTTCCTCCTCCTCCGAGCTTGGACATTTCCGCAGCGGATTTGGATGCGGTAGACCGAACCAGCAAGGAACCCTCCACGGCAGGCTTGCGTCGGAGATTCGCTTTCTTAGACAACTGCCCTGGCCGTAAATACAGACACTCCCGCTTTTGTCGATGAACAGGTCTGGGGATCCTTGGGCTAGGAGGACAGCTGTGGGGTCCCAGGTAGAAGCCTTGTCGTGGCTCATCCGGGATCGCCTCAACGAGTCGAAGCTCATCTTCTGTGAGTTGCAGTTGCAGGCCGCTGCATACAAATCAGTAGAAAGACATACGACGAAAAACATTACCAACCAAGTAAACCCGGGCTATGGTACACCTCCAACCACGACACACAATACTTCGGGCCTTGATGACACACTCGATACTTCAGATAAAGAAATAGCCACAACTTGTCGCCATCGCCGACACCAAATCAGAGCTACCGGACAAAAGCATACACCATGTGCTTGCCACCTTGTGGGCACGCGGAAGCATACAAAATTTTACTCAGTGCCGACAACCAATCGCGAGCAGAGAAGTCGGATAGGAGGCATGTGCATTGAAACAATTTGGACCTAATCGATAAGCAGAACAAATAAACAATGTGGTGCAGACAGTCCCCCCGTGGAGATGACGGGGGCTCATTCCAAACCCCCCCTCACTCCAAAAGTACAAGAAAATGTAAACAAAAAAAAAAGTACACGAAAAGAACCAAGGACAGGTGACAGAACTCGTCTTACTTGTGGTTTTCTTCCGCAAAGAACAGCTTCTCCAAATAGTCCTGAACAAACCATGCAGAAACCGTCCCACACAAAGGAGAAGAGAGCATGGCACACACACCCGCACATGCACGCAGACACAAACACAAAACAACAACAACAACGCACGCACAAACACTGATTAGCACCTTTACAAAGAATCACTCATTGTCCACAACTGCTTCAAACAGCCCACACAAATAGTCGTATCCTTTTTTTTTTTTTTTTTGGACCATTTCTCGATTTATGCGTGTCATCCTTGCGCAGGGGCCATGCTAACGGATGTAGTATCTTAATCATGGGGCGAAAAAAGAAAAAAAAAAACAGGCCCTCATACCACAGGTTGTCCTCCTACCCATGCATTACTTATACCTGCCTGCAGACCAGCAGAGGAGCTTCGCTATGTCCAATCTGTTATAGGTTCATCGACAGAGCAGGAGTTCACACCAGCGTGTAACGTCTAATCCCACCTCTGTATGTCATTTCCCGAAGGCAGAATTACAACCCACCCCCCCTTTCAACCCCCCTTTCAAGTCCAACGCGCCGTCATTTAATAGAGTGCTTATCGACAGGATCATTGTACACACGAGTTTCAAACGGGTTGTTGATCCCACACTTATCCCTGCATCTAGACAGAAATTGGGTACAAATACATCTGTAATGACCGTACATCCTTTCCTATTCGGGAGAAGACGGTAGACCAGAGACCAAGGCATCAAACTCTGAGCATGAAACAAAGCTTGTGACCAACCCATCACTGGTCAGGATTTGCTCTCCCACGAAGGGAAAAAAAATCAGGTTCAGTTTCACATTTTCAGTTCAAACGTCGAAGTTAAAACATGTGAAGAGCATACATGTTAAGAAAAGTGCTGAAGAAACCAGTCCGTAATTTGATATCGAAAAGAAAGATATGACCTTCCATTCCTTTGTCGAAATAGCAAGCGTGTCCGCTCCAGCCACCCACCCGTTCGTACTAAGCATAGCAAGCGTGTCCGCTCCAGGCACCCACCCGTTCGTACTACATACCCATGTCTGTATGTGCAAACATCAGTAACTTGTTTTTGCCTCAAAAGGAATGCCTCGTGACATCGGGCCTGAATAGGAACCAGACTGATGCTCCCCGGAATGGATATGCAGCCAAGGACCGTAAGGGGCAGGTCTATCGTTAAAAAAAAAAAAAAAAAAAAAAAAAAAACAGAGAAGGGAATGCCTCCAAACATCGGGGAGTGTGGATGGTCGTTGGCTCAGTGGTTAGAGCACCGGTTTGACCTCCATTGCCTTGCGCACATACACCGGCAACGCTTTCATAGCGCACAAGCCATTAACTCACTCCCCCTCAGGCTGACCCCATAGTGATTATTTACAGACACTGCCTGCACACCACCCAAGGGGTTTAGTCCATGGTTCCAGTATGCTGGCCGCAGGGCCTTGGGGGAGGTCCGTTTGCGTGGTTGGCCTTGGGGTGGTCCGAGGAGTGTGTGGGTGGGTGGGTGTGGGTGTGGGTGTGGGAGGAGGGGGAGGTGTGGATGTGGGCGTGGGTGTGGGCGTGGGTGTGGGTGTGGGAGTGGGAGTGGGTGTGGGTTGTGTGTAGTGTGTGGTGCAATGATCTCTGGGTCATGTCTCGTGTATGCACCATGGGCGGGGTAGAGGAGGTAGGTTGGGTAGAGGTCTTAGGTCTAGATTGGGTTAGGTAGGAATTTGTGTAGAGATTGTGGGCCTGTCTGCACACCGCCTCGTTCGTATGCACTGATCTGTGGGTGTGTCATGGGTGTGTCTGGGTACTGTGGTAGTTTCCCAGCCTCATGGTACACCTGCGAGAGTCCATACTTACATTGTACGATCCTGGTTCCGGTCTGGCTCCGCCCTCTACACCCCCCTTGAGTCGTAGTAATGGCTGGGTGTTAGGCATATACGATTCTCACGGGGGGGGCTCATGTCTATCTTACAATGCTAGCGGGCTAAGCTTCATCCGGGCTGGTACCTGTCTGCATTCCCATTGAGGGGGTCGATCGGGGCATGAATCTGGGCAAGGGTGGGGGTCTCGTCTTAGGCAGGGGAGGGTTGGTCGTTGCATTGATAGTAGAAGGGTGGTAGATACCCATAGAGTATGCTAGATGTGATACAGGTGGGGAATAACCACATATCCGTGACCCCTCCTGTGTCCCGGTCGTCCTCGAGAATTCGGGGTCTCGCTATTGCAATCAGACTCGTTCTCAAACACACTTTTCATGCATGTAAACAGCAACGCAGTATACTGGCGACATGCGCCCACTCAAAACTCAGAGATA